TAACCTTTTCAATGATAGTTAGAATAGATGATAGCTTTTTTTTTCTTTTCTCTTTGTCAAAAAATTCCTTTTTTATTTCTTTTTCCCCTTGCATAGTTTCTACAAGAGGGGAGTGACACAATTTGAATTTATGGTTGTGACTGTGGAGGTGATCTGCAGGTGCTGATTCTATCAGAAATTTGGGATCTTAATCTCATCCTTTAGGGGAACAATACATCATCCCCATAAATTGCATCTAGAGGCTTCAGCTAAAGATGGGTGAGTTGGGTCAAGGAAATTTGTACTTTGTATGTATTCTCGTATGTGTAATGGTTCTTTATGATTTAATAAATAAACGACACCAACCTGATTGCGGGAAAAAAAAATAATAAAATAAAACTAGTATATAAAATTATTATTATTATATTTTTAATAATTAATATTTATAACTGAATTAGAATATTTATTAAAATTTTTATATTGTCTTATAATTTTATATATGTATTTTATTGTAATATAACAAATATTTTATAATTTATCAATATCAAGTGAAATAAAATATTAAAAGCAAATAATAATAATAATAATAATAATAATAATATTTTTTCTTATTATAATATTGATTTAACTTTATAATATATATTTCTAATTTTATTTCTAATTATATTAATATTATTTTTAAAAATAATTCTAAGTAGGTATTTATAGCTATTTAATATTATTTAATTGATATAATGGATTTAAAATTTCTTTTTTAATAAAAATTAAATGATTATTATAGATAAACTAATATTTAACTTATTGTAATTTATATATAAAAAATATTGATTCTTTTTAAATATATATCTTATAATAAATAAATAAATAAATGATATTTATTTATTTAATTTTTTAATATATGGTATATATATATATATATAGACTTGTGGGTCTATAGTGTAGTGGTTAACACTCCACAGGTCAAATTACAAGATACCAGTTCAACCCCATGTGAGGACAGTTGAATAGAATTAATATGGTATCTGGTGCCATAACCTGTATAAGCACTGTTTCTTATGAGAAGCTGTATCACACACTGATCCAGTAGGCGTTGAGATTGTGATTTTTAGAAAAGGTATCATGGCGTGACGATCATCCAGTTGGTGTTACGATAATCGCCGGAAGTTGCAAGGTGTATGAGGTGTCTGCTTTTGATAAAGATGGCTTGGTAATCGTTTTCCCGTAGTACCTGATGTCTCTTCCTGCAAGTTTCCAAAAAGGCCTTATTCCAATCCAGTAATAGATCGCTCCGACAGTTACCTATCCCGAGAAGTCAGCCAAAACAGCAGTAAGTACCGATAGCTAAAACAATCTATAGGCTGTAAGTCTGTGAGATAAGTTCCTTGAATGTTCTTGGGTAGCTTTAGAAAGGTGGAAATTAAATGGTATGCCTATCTGCAGGTGGTCGGGTCTAGAAGGATTCTCTCTGCAGTAGTTCTATTCGCCAAAAATAGGTATTACCCCCAGTTCCTCACATTCAAACTTCCCTTTTAAATTTACACAGTGCCAAATAGAACATAATAATATAATAGCAACACTAACAGGGCTTTGGCACGTTAGCCTTAGCACAATCTTTCTGAGGTGATGCTAACAGCAACAAGCTGATATGGGGTAGGTCTGATATAGCTTAGCGATATGTAGAATTATTTATAGATAGTAGTTCCTGTAATACACAAATTACATATATGAATAAAATAATAAAATATACTAGGCAAGGCCCAGCTGATTGAACTTAAAAAAAAATAAAAATATATATATATATATTATTTTTTATTATTTTTAATTTTAATTTTAATTTATTTTTTTTAATCTTGCAATCAGGTTGGTATCATTTATTTATTAAATTATAAAAAACCATTACAAGTTAAGAATGTATGCAAAGTATAAATTTTCTTGACCAAACTCACTCATCAATAGTCAAAGTCTCTAGATGTGATTTATAAGTGTAATATATTGTTCCTCTAAAGAATGAAATTAAGATTTCAAACTTCTAATAGAATCAAAACCTGTAGCTTACCTCTATAGTTACAACTATAAACTCAAATTATGTTACTCCTTTTTGTAGTAACTATGTAAGGGGAAAAAGAAATAAAAAAAGAATTTTTTGGACAAAAGAAAAGAAAAAAAGTTATCGTTTATTCTAACTATTATTGAAGATATTATCTCTATGAACTTCAAAATTCAAGCTTCTCATGATTCCTCACTTCTCATCATCTGTAGCCAGACAAATTGTTTAATTTCCATTGAAATAATTGATATCCAAAAATGTTTAAGGACACTTATAGAAGAGTATTTCTTAAGACTTTATATTTAAAGACTTCTAATCAAAAAGAATGTTAGTTTTCTATTATTGATTTTTCTTTCAAGTCATGTTTTCTGGGATTATTGCTTTATTTAACTGGTAGATAGTTTCAAAATTCCTTTCTCCAACCATTTTCAGAATAAATATCAATACTTCAACTTGTTATCAGATTGGGATAGGACCTAGATCTTGTTGCTACTTCCTGTCTTTAAGAAAGAATAGGGAAGAAAAAAATAAAATAAAAGGATGGAAACAAAAAGGAGTTGCTTCTTTTCTATTTACAACTTCAACTTTACCTAGTACTTCCATACTACTCTTTCAACTAAAAACCATCCAACTCTTTCAGGAACCAATAATATCATCAATTTGGTGTTGCGCAAGTGGGAACATATAAGGAATACATGTCTTGTTTACTTTTTCTATAACTGATGTGATTAATCAATCTGTGGCCTTAATCAATTATTTTTCAGGAAATCCAGTATAGCCAAAAATTCAAGATCAAACCGAAGTAGGCAAAATTCTTCAGAAAAATCAGGAAAAAAGGAACCACACTTGAAAAAAAAAAAATATGAAGTCAAAAAAATAATAGAAAAACTAAAGACTTCTTTATTTTTGTTTCTCTAGTTTCTTGAATCTTTTGAGTCTTTGGAAGATATTTTTTCTTATCAGTTTTTTTTCTAAAAGATATTTTTGCTATAGACTTTTTAGGTAGGTTTCTTGTATTTAGTTGCAAAAATAAACAAAAAGAGTATTTTGAAAAGAAAAAATAAAACAAGTGGTAGCTTCTACTCATTTTGCTAATTAGAAAATCAGTGTTGTTAAAGAGAATATATAGATTTTATTATCATAAAGACATAAAATCTTTTGAGAACGTCTGTTTTTTTGGTTGATAAAAGAATTAGTGAAAAAAGTTTTTTTTTGTAATATTATTTTTAATTTTTATAATTTTTACAAAAAAAAATATATATATATATACAATAATATATAACTATAAATTTAATTTGCAAATTTAATCTCATTAAAAATTTTTTATAAATTGTATCTAAAAATTATATTCTAATAATAAATGAATTAAATTAAAAAAATTTATATATTATATATTTATTTTTTATATTTGAATGATTTAACAAGATTTATTAAATATATGAAATCCATTTGCAAAAAAAAAAAAAAAATTAATAAATATATAATTTCAATTTAATAAAAAAAATCATATTAAATACTTATAGATTAATAATTATTTATTAAATTTAATTATTATTAACTTGTATTATTAACTTAATAATAATAAATATTTGTTTGATTACGGAAATAATAACAGATAATAACAGATAATAACAGATAATAATAATAATAATAATAATAAATAATACAGTATACAGTATATTTTTATATAACAATGTAACAATGTCGAATTAAGGTTTTGTTTTTCTATATCTCAACACGTGATTTGACACGCACAGTCAAAACACATGTAGGATCCGCAGTTTTGTCCTACTTACTTCGTGTAAATAACAAATAGATTGTTATGAATATGATCTTTCGCCTCGTATAAATCATGATGATTGACACCCTTCAATTTACTGATTATTTATCAAGGGTAAGAGTGTTAGATGCAATGCATGATTTTATTGTCAAATATTCTTTTAACGTATACCTCTTCAACTTATAGAAAAACTTCAGGTATAAATATTATACCTCAGCATACGATGCAAAGTTCTTCAAAAAAAAATGAACTTGAAAAAACAGATAATTTGCCACCTGTATCGACTTCGACTTTTTTACCAGCTTCTTTGTTACAGAGCATTATAGGCTGGCAGGAGCAAAATTTAGAAAGTATATATTGTAACAGACAGTAACAATAAACGAAAAATTGATATTTGGAAAACTTTTGCTTAACAAGTTTATTCTTTTTACCTACAAAAGCTATCTCAAACCAAGCAAAGGCCAACAAAGCCGCATCAGAAGAAAATACTTACCTGCTCCAAAAAATTGATTTGCTCGAAAAAGAGTTAAGTTCTCTAAGAAGCAATCAGCATAAGGATCCGATAGGAAAAATTGAAAATACAGTAGATTTGAATGCACAAAAATCAAAGGTCGCCAAAGTGAATAGAGTTGAAGAGTATGGTTTTTTTTGACAGTTATTCTTTAAAAATTGGTTTCATCGTAATAATTAGAATTTTAATTTTACAAGGTGTCAGTATCTGCCTGCGTCTCGCAACCTCTCAGACTTGTCTTCATCATCAAGTTTTGTGATTATTGAGGACGATAATGAGAGATCCGAGTTTTCGGGTTCAGCGCGTAAATCGAATCCCATTCTCGTATCGGAGGTGGAAAGGTACCATTTATTTGTCTCGAATGATAGAGAAATCTTTTTATTTATGACTTATTAACTTATCGATAGAAGACATAAAGAAGCTTTGAGTCTAGAGACAGAATGGGAGAAAAAATATCATGAACTTAAATCAGAGTATGATAAGCAAAAAGATGAATTCCAGACTCTCAAGAATCATTACGCAACAAGATCATCGGAGTGGAAACGTGCTAAAAAATGGTTTATAAGTGCAAAACATGAATTAAATCAGTTACGTGCTAAAAAGTCCGAATCTATTACTCGGGATGGTACACAATTCTTGATTTCTGGTTCAAAGTCTGTGGAGGTGAATGCTGAAACTAGCACTTGCAGTGTTCTCACCAACTCCATAAATGTTCGCGACAATTCGTCTATTGATGTTAATAGCGTGTCGTTGGATACACGTTCGCATTTACATGATAATGGTGGCACGGATAATAATAATAACAATGGATCGGCATCTTTTGGAATCTCCTCAACAGAATTATTGGATTCGATATCAAATAATGTGGAAACCCCACAACTTGATAGCACAATGAATTCAAGTTTTCTCGGTAGAAATAAAGGTGAAGATTTAGAGGCTAAATCACGTGTAGTGGATAATAGTATGATCAGCATTGTTTCGGAACGTAGATCCCAACTTGGAGCAAACTTTGAAAATCCAATTAATATCAACGAATGTGATGACCCATTCCTCCCTGATGACGAAGGTGATGAAGAATTGGGGAGCAAGAAAAGGACCATCATGCAAGATCAAGGTGACGGTGACAGTTTTCATTTATCAGATAGTAACAATAAAAGAAAAAGATGGAAATCAGTATTTCAAGAAAGTCTAAGAGAACTAGAAATCGACGAGTCTGAAGATTCTACGTTAGTGCAATTGAAAACAAAACATAAAAATCGTCATGATTTTAATGACATTGTAGAAGATACAAGTCTGCCTCACACGCCAATTAGGAAAGAAAATAATTCCAGGCGGTCCATCGGCTCAGATCCTAGTTATGGACCTACTAGTGCGTTGCGAAAAAGCGATCGCCGCCGGTTGCAAGCTGAAGATTGTCGTGAATGCCGTCGAGTAAGGGACCATTACTAATTTTTGCATTTAATTTTAATTTTATCATTGTCAATTTTGTAACCTAATTTTTTTCCTAAACAGTTTTACGAAATAACAGGTCCGTTACCGTTACTTGGTTCAATTGGGACACATAGCAGTAATCAGGAACAAAGTCCTGAATCCCTGATGGAAGCTCGCATGCATCATTGTTCGCGACACCGAATAAAATACAGTCGCCCAACTACTCCTCCTGGTTTCTGGCAAGTGGACATTCCGACATCACAAGAAATGGAAGAAACTAGGGAGTTAACCAAAGAGTACATTAAGCAAAGAGAGGAAGAAAAGAAAAAGGAGCAGGAACATGCGAAGGCTTATGAGAGAAAATGGGTTAATGCTTTTGATGCCTAAGCTTAAACCTGGTGTAAGTTGCAATTGCACGTAAACACATTAACTTAAATTGTGTTCCCATTAATTATTTACCCTCGAAATAGAGAATAGACTGCTGTATTATAGAAAATTTATATATTGGTGGGAGGCATAATTATGCATCCTTTTCTAATCGATTCCTCTTGATCATTCATTTGTGTGCATTCTTGTGTGAATCTTTTTTTTTTTATTTTTATTCTAATGAAATTCTTTCGAATGAGTTTGAAGTTCACAACTTTCTACGTGTCTATTTATTTATAGTTTTTACGTAAAACTGATAAAATTTAACCTTTTACTGGTTAATATGTAAATATAGTAGTATGCTTAATAGAGTGATTATATTGTTAATAAAATTATACAGTATATGGTAAAACAGTAACTTTAAAATTGATCAATAAAGATAAATAATTAAATTTATCGAGTGAAACCTGTTCGTTGTCTTGGCTGTTTAGAAAATATCCATCATCCTAATTTGCAATTAATCAATACTTTCTTTCAATAAATGGTGGGTAATTATAAAATTTTTTCATTTTATTAATAAAGTTATTTCTTAATAATTTTTTTTAGAACATAAAAAATTTTATTCTCCTATTTTTATTAAAACTTCGATATCTACTGTATTCGAATTTTATAACTAATCATTCTAACAAAGTTTTGAATTGCAATTAGAAAATTACGATGTCTTTGAATAGTTTCAATCAAACCATCAAATTTATTCTCTTTTTTTTAATAATATTTTTGATTATTTATTAAACTATACCTAATTAATTTTTTATTATTACATTATAATAGTTAACAAATTTTATATAATTTGATTTTTTTTTTTTTAAATATAAATATACTATATTATTATTATTATTATTATTATTATTATTTAATTTATAAATAATTTTTTTGATTTCACATTTTTTTTTTTAAATAAAAATTTTATTCATAAAGCAGCGAATCTTTACATCTTAAAAATTCTTGATTTTTTATTTTTCAATAGTATTTTTAAAGAGATCATAAATAATCATATTAAAATACATGATTTTTTTAAGTAGTAAAACATCTCACGATTTTCTGCTTAATGTTATTTTATTTCTGTTAATTCTTTTGTTTTGCGTTTCAAATGTTTCGAATGAGTCGGATATAATCGAAAACAGATTAATGCGAAAGGTAGCCCGCAGTCCAAACAAAATTTTAGGGGGTTAAATACGACTTTGGTGAAATCGACAACACATTACATGTGGCAAAGGTGGTTGCATAAACGTCATAAGCCAAAATTGTCAACGCTAATTTCTCGTCATTCAAATGTGTTACCAGAATACAATGTTATCAACTTGTGTAATTATTTAAATAAGGAAAAACTCACCGCAGCTTGTTACGCCTCGATTAAATTAAGTAGTGGCACATTAATTAGATGAACCCGCAGTCAATCTCGTTATATACGCGTGAACCATGATTTTAACTGCGACGATTGGGAAAAAATCTATATAAGCGACTAGTCATTGTATTCGTTGTTCGATCGCATTCCTTCGCTTCCAAATTTTCTTATTTTAAAAAAAAAAAATACCTACTTGATTATTTTTATTTCATTTCATTTCTTTTGTTTTAAAAAAAAAATAATGACGGAATACTCTGCTATTTTTCAACCATTCGTTGACTTGTTTACTCAGGAGCAAGTTCAGGCGATTTTGCTGGCATGGCTTCCCACAAAATTGGGATCTTTTCTCTCGGGAATTATTGCTGTTGACATGTTCCTTACCACTATTCTAGGTTGATACACATGCATGATCCTTGATGATGATTTTATCCCATTGGTTATTGACAATTCGTTTGTTTTGTTTAGCATCTGGGATAACGGTCACATTCGCCGCTCTTTTTGCTCTGATTCGAACAAGATTCACCGGGATTATGTGGGATCAAAATTTGGTGACGGTACAAATTGAATATTACGCTACAGGAATTTTTGGTAAGCTTTTGCCTTTGGTGATAATTCAATTTTTTTTTTCTTTCGGTCAAACAGATTAATCAAATAGTATTTAAAATCTCACAGGGGATCAATACACATCGTTATTCTACGAATCCTTGTCGTGGTTGATTTCACAACAAACCAAACAATTGGATAAAGGCGCTTTCATAGTTCAACATACCAACAAAGTTGCTGAAGGTGAAGACGATTGCGCACCTCCTGGTTTTAATATTCTCCCCGAAAAGAATCAACAGGTCACCATCAAACACGATAAAAGGAAGTTTCACGTGACATTCAGTTTACCTGCTGCGGACGGTATTAACAATGCGGATAATAATAACAATCGAAATTCGACAAGCACGACAAAGGTCATGCCATCCATCTACCTCACCACAATCAAAGATTCAAATGCCAATGTAGACTCGGTGTCTAATTTCCTAAATGAAGTCACTCGTGCATACCTGGAATCGCAAAAGAAAACAAAAACGCGTTCACGATTCGAACGTAACGAAGGATATTGGTATAAAATTCAATCTTTGACTTCCAGTCGAGGTCTGGATTCCGTCGCACTCGATCGGCCACAAGAGATTTTGTTGAGAAAAGAACTTGAAACATTCATAAGTGATAAGGACTTCTGTAAGTGTAAAATAAACACGGGATACCATCTTATCTTTGATATAACCGATCGGTATTAATTCCAACATTAATTAGATCAAAGAATCGGGATGCCTTATCGAAGAGGAATTCTTTTGTATGGAAAACCTGGTACCGGAAAAACGAGTCTCATCAATGCCATTTCATCGCATCTTTCGCGAGACCTGTACTATCTCAATTTGAAGAACATAACGGGTAATTATTCCAACAGAATTTTGGTCTTCGATATTTTCACGTGCAATTCTATATCCGAAACTTTTTCATTGCACAGATGACAACGAATTGAGTGCAGCTTTCTCATCAATTCCGGCAAATCAAATATTGGTTCTTGAGGATATCGATACTCAGTCAAAAGTTGTGCACCAAAGAGGAAGGACAACTTCATCAAGTGTCAAATCTGATTCTTCGGAAAACAAAGCCGTCGGGCCAACTAACAAAGGAGGTTCCGATAGTTATTCGATGTTCAGTTTATCAACATTTCTGAGTTGCTGCGATGGTCATATATTAGCTGAAGGAATTATAATCATCATGACCACAAACCATGTGGAAGTGTTGGATCCTGGTATGCGTTATTATTGATATCTGATGTTTCGTATTTTAATCATTTGTCGATTAAATGTTTTTTCATCTTTCAACTTAAACTTTCTATCAACAGCATGGTTAGTAATTCAAGAATATTCGCAATTTACATTATATTTCATCTTGCGTTCGAATTTATCTGATGTTTTGTTTATTTTTAATAGTATTCGTCCGGGACGATTCGACCTTCACCTTGATCTTGGTTACGCGACACACTACCAAATTGCAAAAATGTACAGTAGTGTGGTTGAAGATCAGAAGGCCGAGTTTCCGCCTGAGATTATGTCTAAAATTCCAGATCGTCTCCTTCCTCCCTGCGAAGGTGGTTATCTTATTTTATTAGGTTTTCTTTTTTTTTTTTTTTTTTTACCTCGATTAATGCTTACAAATTTGCGAAAACGACAATTAGTTATGATGACCATGGTTTTGTATCGTAATGAAGCAAAAATGATTCCGCAAAAAGTTTACGAGTTGGTGGAAAAATACCGACACATGAAACCTGAAGAAATTGCAAAACAGATGGAAGAAGAGGCCGCTAGAATCTCGTCTACCAATGGGGAGAAAAAGGAGGAAGCATCCAAACTAGAGAACAATGGCGCCGCGATCACTCCGGAAAGTGCCCAATCAGATGAAAAAAAGGATGAAATCAAACCAGTGATTGAAGGGGCAGTTGCGGAAGTTATAACGAAAGAAATAGTTGTGGAGGAGTTAAAGGTCACGACGATCAAGGAAAAGGACAATATTACAAATGCAATTCATAATTCAAGTAAAATAACTTGCACAAATGAAGACGATACGGATAGCAGCACCGACGTCGAGTTAGATGAAAATATATCAAAAAAGAGCCTGGTCTCAATATAAGATAGAAAATACATAATCGCAAATTCGAGTATCATAGAATGATACCGATGAAATTTTATTAAAAAAAAAAAAAATGTATGAAATGTAAAAAAAAAAAAACTTTAATTCCTTTAAATTTCAAAAAGCGGAAATAAAACTTGAGAGGTGGTCAAGTGATTACCCATTAAACTCAAAGCCCACGCGGACATTTTACTTGAAGTTTCATGAACACGTTTTTGACATACATGATTGTGCGACTTTCGGTGATTATCATTCCCGAATTCAAAATGCCTATTATATGGTATATATAAAAGGGCATTTTTCCAATCGTCCTGTTTCAGACCTTGTCGCGTCTTTCTATTAAAATCTTTTTTGACTAATAAAAAAAAAAAAAATGTTCGAAGCACGTCTAACTCAAGGTGGTCTCCTTAAGAAATTACTCGAGTCTGTTAAGGAACTCGTAACCGACGCGAACTTTGATTGTAGTGAAACAGGCATAGCCCTGCAAGCTATGGATAACTCTCACGTCGCGTTAGTATCACTTTTGCTTCGTTCCGACGGGTTTGATCCTTATCGTTGCGACCGAGGTTTTTCCTTGGGTGTAAACTTGAACTCTTTAAACAAGATATTGAGGTGTGCCGGAAATGACGATATTATTACTCTCAAAGCTGATGATAACTCGGCTGATAACTTGGGTTTAATATTTGAGAGTCCAAGTAAGTGTGTTGTTCTCCAGTTTCGTTGTTGTATCTCTCGAGCTTGCAAGTTACTACACTTTATTCTTAATTCCCTTATATTAAGGCAAAGAATAACGTGTGTGAAAAGCGTATTCTGCGTCGTGAAGTCTTAGATAAGTCTGAGTTCGCTAATTAGACATTTTACCTGTATTTCTAAAAATAGCTAACGAAAGAGTCAGCGAGTATGAATTGAAATTGATGGATATTGACCAAGAACATCTCAGCATTCCGGATACCGAATATGATGCAACCATCATCATGCCATCCGCCGAGTTTCAGAGAATTTGTCGCGATTTAACTGTTGTTAGCGAATCAGGTAATGCACTTTATTTTATTTTTTTTTTTTAAAAAAAAAAAAAAGACCGATGCTTAACTACAATTACCTATTGTTCTAGTTTCCATCGACGTAACAAAAGAATCCATCAAGTTTACCGCGGAAGGCGAAGTCGGATCTGGAAGCGTCAAGTTAAAACCTACCTCCTCAATCGATAAGGTTTGTACCAAACATTAGCCACCCAACCATGAATCGGTTCTCATGAATTAAGCCTTTCGAATTCTTACACAATTTCCAGCCCGAAGAGTCAGTTACCATCGAACTCGCTCAGGCTGTTTCACTCCAATTCTCCCTCAAATATCTTACGAATTTTACAAAGGGTACTCCCTTATCCGATCAAGTTATGCTTTGTTTGTCCGAGAACATGCCATTGCTCGTGGAGTATAAGATGGATATTGGTTATATTCGATATTACCTTGCACCCAAGATAGGTGATGAGTAAAAGTTTTAAAATTGGTTTCCATGTTAAAGTAAAATGTATTCTACTTGATAATTATATTTACATTATGATGATAATGCGATGAGTCCAAGACGACTGATAATAATTGTTTTAGTCATGTGATTTTTTCTTATACAATGCATAGTAGAATTATAATATAATAATATAAAAATTAAAATTCGATCTCTTCCGATGACACTCTTCCTCCGGTTGAACGCGTGAAATTATCTACTGATTTCAATAGAGAAGTCGATCCTTTTGCATACCAATTTTAAAGTTACATATTATTTATTTATTTATTTAATATAATATAATATAATTTTTACATATCTATTAACTAAATTACAATGTGTTAAAAGAAAATCAATGAGCAAATATCTTATAGTATAATTTAATTGATTTTTAAAAAACTTAACTACATATATGTTTTTTATAATATAATAATGAAATTATTGAAATTTCATTAATATTTTATTAATAATTTCAAAGTATAAAAAAAAGGTACCTATAAATTTATTAACTAATTTTATGTATAAATTTATACATGACTAAATAATATATGAAAAATATAATTTTTATTATTAAAAATTTGCTATAAAAAAAAATTGATTAATTATAAAATCAAAAAAATTGATTTGTTTTATGTAAAATTGATAAAAATTTAAGCTTGTCAAATAAAAAAAAAAATTATAAAAAATTAATTTATATAATTCACAAGTAACAAATAAAATATAAAAATTATTTTGATTTTGAATTTAAAATATAATAATTTTATAACATTTTAAAAAATTTATAAATAATTTTATTCTTTATATATTTAAAAATATATTATATATAGTATAGAACAAAAATAATTGGAATTATATTTTTTATTATAATTTCATAAATAATAATTTAATTAAGATAAAACTTTAATTATATATATATTATAATAATTAATAAAATATTAGAGTTTTAATTAATAAATTTATTTGAAAATATTGATTTCAAGTTAAAAAAAATTTTTTAAAAAACATTATAATTTTAATTATAAATATATATATATAATATGGATGAAAATTAAAATTTTACTATAGAAAAATTTTTTAAAGAATTAAATATAAAAATGAATAAAAATTTTAAACTTATAAAAAAATTATAAAAAATTTATTACACATTATATTTAATAGATGTTATTAAAATTGATTTGTTTTTTATTATATAAAATTATTTTTAAAAAATCTTTAAAATTTTTAAAAACTTGGTTTAATATAAAATTTATGTTTTTTCGTAAAATTTAATAAAATTTTAAATTAAGTTAATTATCAAATAATTTTTTGTACTTAATAAAAAATAATAATTATTATATTATTATCATTATAACTTTTATTTAACAAATCTATATATTAAAATAATTTTAATAATTTTTATTATTTTTTATTTTGTAATATATCAAAATTAATTGTTTTTTTAAATTAAATTTTAAGAAAATTTTAATAATGTATTTTAAATACTTTATTAATCAAACTTGTTTTTTATATTCTTAAATACATTAATATAGATTTTTATCTTATTTTATCAATTGGTTATTGAAATATTATAAAAATAAAAATTAATGTTGTTCAATTATTTTTGTTTTATATTATAGATATAATTTTATTTGATTTTATTAAAAATTTATTGAATTATAAATAAAAATAAATATATAATTTTTGTTTAAAAATTTTCTTAATATATTATAAATAAATTACAATCTATATATCAAATTTACTATAAATTGATATGTATACATATTTTAAAGATTAAAGTGTATATATATATAATCTTTATTAATTATTATTGAAAATTACATTTTATATTATATAAATAAAAATTTAAAAAGTTTTGTTATATACTACTATATATGTATTATATATAGTATAGTATAATTAAATATAATTTATTTCTTATTTTTATATACTTTTTTTATAACTTTTATATTTGTAAAAAATTTAATTATAATATTAAAATAATAATGGTATTTATTTTTTATTATATATTTAATTTTTTATATTTTATAATTAAATAATTTAACATAATTTTATATTTTAATAAACAAACAAACAAATTTCAATAATTATTAAGTATAATATATACTATATATATTTGATCTATTTTGATATTTAATTATAATAGTATTTTTATATTTAGATTATTATAAAAAGATTAAGCTTTTTACATAAAAGATATTGTTTCTTTCTTATTATGCAATATACAAATAAATAAAAAAATAATGCTTACTTAAAAAAAGATTGAATCTTTTTATTACTTAAGAAAATAAATAAAAAAAAGAATTATTAATAATATATAATTCATATTTTAATTTTCAAATTCTATTAATTTTAATATTAAGATAAACTTGTGAAAATTATTTAAAATTATAATTAGCACCATTTATTTGATTTTGTTTAAAATGACAATAAATTATCGAGTGTATATATTGAAATCAATTTTATTTGTAAAATCGATTTTTATTTATTATTAACTTTTAATTCAGTTTAATTTGAATTTAAATAAAACCGCTTATCAATTCATATTATATTTAAGACCAATGTGACGTTATTTTAAATTATCATATACAGTATATGATGTAAAAATCAAAATTAATAATTATAGAGTCATTATATTTGTCATTATTATATAAACGGATTAAACCAATATGAGTTAATTGAATTTAGATTCGAATTTGAATGCATTTATTGATTCTAATATCTAAGACTTGCTGCTATTTAATAATTAAATTGGGTAGTTCGCTATCTATAATATATAAGTAGAGTCAATTTAAAATATTCTAAATAGAAAAGAAAAAGTAATGATAAAAATTATTTACCGTAGCAATGTGATTTGGTGCAAGGAATAAAATCACTTGCATAAATTGTTTCTGTATGTGTTTGTACATACGAATTTTCCTTATTTTCTAATATTTTATTATCGTAGCTGACACCGTCATCTGGCACAATGCAATCAGTTAATTCAGCTAAAATTTTTTCATCATTTTGCCATTCTATAAAAGTTCTGCCAATTTCTTCAGCAAGTGGACGATTTTTTGGATTTCCATCCCAACATCTTTTCATAAGATCTATATAGCTCTGCGGTGTACCTTTAATAATAGTTGGTCGAAGGCCATCACATACTTGAATTTGAAATTGAACTCGAGATTCATGATTAAAAGGAACGGTTTTTCCAACAGAAATTTCCCACATTATTATGCCAAATGAGTAAATATCTGATGCCAAGGTATACTTAAATCCACAAAGAACTTCAGGTGCAATGTATGGTAAAATCCCAAAGACACCTTCAGATTCTGTATCAGTCGATATCGAAAGACCTAAATCAGCAATATATGCACTATATAAATTGGACAGTAGTATATTACCACTATGTAAATCTCGGTGAATAAGATTTTGTGAATGAATTATTTTAAGATCGGAAGCAATACTAATTAGCAATGTCAACTTATCTTTCCACGATGTTTGTGCCACTAAATGAAGTTTACTACGCAAGGAACCCATTGGCGCGTATTCAGTAACAAGAATAAAATCTTTAGAGATCTCGTCTCTAGATATTCCAAAACATTTTAAAAATGTGAAGTTTTTATATCCAATATCGCAATATGCTTTTAACTTTGATGTAAGAAAAAGGTTAGAAAAGTAAAATAGTATAACGTCTAATTTTATAATAGAAATACCTCTTTCATAAACTCCTTATTATTATCTCTTGATCCGTGAAGTAATTTAAGCGCAATACCTTTAGTACCCCAATAGGCATGAAACACTGTTGCAAATCCTCCTTGCCCTATCTTCTCAATTTTTTCAAATTCACTATAAGAAATCCAACGTAATGAATATTTACTTTCAGAAAGCATTTTTTTAACTTCATTGTTAATTTCTGAGTTTTTGAGCATTGATTCATTCGAAGCTAAATAGATAGACTGTTAAATTATGAATTAATAAGATGGAGTAATGTCACCATATTTACCCAATGATTGATTTCTTTCCCTAATTGTTTACACATCGTTGTTACTTATGATAGCTATGATAATACTGCAGATTAAATAATTTACTTACATCTGATACCAATGCGTAGCCATTTGTAAGTTCCTCGTAACTCCTATTCCATTTCTATATAGTGCAGCAACCACATACATTCCAGCTACATATCCCATCTCGGCTGATTTTTGAAAATATTCGAATGCCTTGTGTTCATCCTTTTCAACTCCAATTCCATAGAGATAACAATGACCGACATTGTATATCCCTAATGCATTACCCATCTCTGCTGATTTTTGATAATATTCGAATGTCTTATATTCCTCTTTTTCAACTCCAATTCCTTCATAATAACAATGGCCAACATTAAATGTCCCTAATGCATTACCCATCTCTACTGATTTTTGATAATATTTGAATGCCTTGTGTTCATCCTTTTCAACTCCAATTCCATTGAGAAAACAATAGCCGACATTATGTGCCCCATATACATTACCTATCTCTACTGATTTTTGAAAATATTCGAATGCCTTGTGATCATCTTTTTCAACTCCAATTCCGTTGAAATAACAATGGCCAACGTTATATGTCCCTGATGAATTACCCATATCTGCTGATTTTTTATAATATTCGAATGCCTTGTCTTTATCCTTTTCAACTCCAATTCCTTTTTCAAAAAAATAGCCAACATTAAATATTCCATCTATATAACCCAATTCGGCTGATTTTTTAATATATTCGAATGCCTTATGTTCATCCTTTTTAACTCCAGTTCCTTTATGATAACAATTACCAACATTACATATTCCTAATACATTACCCATCTCTGCCGATTTTTGATAATATTCGAATCCCTTGTGTTCATCCTTCTCAACTCCAATTCCATTGAGATAACAATTACCAACATTATATGTTCCTAACGCATTACCCATCTCTGCTGATTTTTGATAATACTCGAATGCCTTATGTTCATCCTTTTCAACTCCAATTCCATTG